CAACCACTTTAACAGTTGCTCTACTCACAAAATTTTAAATCTTTCTCTAGGAATTCAACTCATTTGGTGACTTCAGCTAGCAAACTATTCAAGCAGCACTCTGCCCTTATGTTTCATGATCTGTAGAAGATTTGAGGTTCTCATAAGAAAATAAAAAGGATATAGACCTACTCCATGGAGAGTGCTACACTCCCTCTTGTACTTTTCTGTAGATCATTATAAATGTGCAGCTCCTTACTTCTCATGGGTATCTGATATGCCAGCTCTAGTATACATAAATACGTAGCCATCACACTATTCTCTTTCAGGATAAGCACTATTATACTTATGCAGAACTCAGTAAAGAAACAGTAAGCCAAAGAGAAGTAAGTCATGAGATAAGGGGGGGGGGGGGGGGAAAAAATACAATTAAATTAGTTTACACCAACAGCATTCACTATAATTTCCATGCCTTTCTAACCTTTCATACAATTGCTGCTTCCACAACATCCATACACTACTTCATACATGGCCTTTTGTCCTTTCAACTTCTCAACATTTCCTTTTTTTGGACCTCATCAACTCAATCCAGTGATTTTCCTGGTCTTCCTCTCCCTATTTACTCTTCATTTTTCTCCTCACTCATTCTGTCTATATAACCAAAGTACAACAACCTGCATCTTTAATATTGGTCACTCACTTTTCTATTCAGTGCAGATTCATTCAGCACCCATTCATTGACCTACTGTGTCTTCCCACCCCCTCCCTGGCAGAAAGCTACACTGCCCTTTACAAATGTTTCCATTCTCACCATTTGCACCCTTGCAATCAGAATGTTGCCAACACCTTCCCAGGCACTCTTCATCCCCTCGAAATGAAAGTTTGGATCAAGACACACTAAAATAACTAGTTATCAAGATCTCTTGTTATTAAGAAAGCTAGTGTGACAATATCTAATGCTAAGGAAAGAGCAAGACATTTCTTCTTGAGAAAATGTCTCAAATTTAGTGCCCTCCAGATATTCCAGATCTAAGGTCACTGACTTTCCATAAAGCACCACTGAGTGTTATTTGGAAAATCTGGTTGTCCCAAAGCCAACACAACTAGAATGTCTGTTTCCTAAAGAGGTTAGTGTTTTTTTTTT